CAGATTTAAATTTGAAATAACTGAATAGATTTTACTGATCGCACTTGGAATATAGCAGGAATAGATCAAAGTCCCTTTTTATGGTCATGTATTTCTATTTAGAAGCAGCTACCCACAAATTGTCTGAGATTTTGTGTGCTTTGCAACTTACAACGACGATCATATATCAACCGATATTGAAGGAAATATTCAGACAACCTTTAGCTCTCATCAAATCTCTTCATCTGTTATTATATAATAGTAAAATCACCTTCTTGATAAGTTCATCATTCAAATTAAAACCATAATGATATTGTTTACCATTTCATTTCAAATGCATATGATTGACAAAAAAATCAACCAATCAAATAGCTATGTTTATTTTATGGATGCAGATCTTCTGTATAGCAGAGTGACCTGTCTCGTATCCGTTATGAAAGTTTACAAGTTTTGTATGTCTTAATATCTACCATATTTGCTCTATTAGAACTGCACATACACCCCAAATTGTATTTAAGTATAAAAGATCTATAAAATATGGCTTATTTTCACCATATAGACACCACTGTCATTTGCATGTTCTACTAATAGAACAAATATGGTACATGCATATTGTTTGTAGCATGGCTTAGAATTGGGTGTGCACTCACTGCGCATTGTTATTGTGAATATATTATAAGTGTATTTTCTTGTTTTTTATCCCTCTTTCTCTCTCGCTCTCCTGCGCTCTCCATTAATTTCATTTTCACCAGAAAGCAATGCAATACGAAATGGAGCAAAAGTTTACTAGCCTGAAAACTCTTTGTTCATTGTAATCTGCACTTGTCTCTGTCCTGTATTTTCTTGCTACTAATTATTAACCAGATAAAAAAAAGCGCATTTGAATAACTACCACACTTACGAATAAATTAGCATAATATAGAATATTACTCGGGAAAAAATTGCTCATACTTTGAGTTCATTTAAGTTGATGACAAAGCACAACTTGTGCAGTTTTTTTAATTCTCGCTTTTTAAAACAGTTTGACGTAATTGTCTTTGTTTCGTCAATTAAGAAAATATATAAATTTTAGAAAATGTGGAATATAAAAGTGAATTTTGTTACTGAACTAGTTTCTATAAGATTGTTTTGTCTGCTATATACAAATATGGTAATAATAATTAAATAATCCGTGCATATACATCATCTGTCGCATCATATGCAGAATCTGTCGCATCATATGCAGAATCTGTCGCTCTCATTGCAGCTGGCACCTAGCTACTACGTATACATATTTTCATATACTTCATTCTATCTGTAAGAATTTCATACAAAGTTTTTTTTTAACCAAATTCATGCAATATTTGACTTTTCATCAAAAAACAATTATAAAAATACCTGTTTACTCTTTTTTTTTTTTCTCCACTCTCGAGATGCAGGTTTTTTTGAAAAACCAAATTTGTTAATTTGTTTTTACCGACTACGTGTTAGGTGTCAGCCTCATCTACATAAGGCTTCTTACAGTGTAACTGCTGTTCTGTGTTGCAGCTTTCTATCAGGGTTTAGGAAACTGCCGAATCCTTTTAGCAGACAACCTAAAACACCCCCAAGAGAAATGTCACCAAGTAGCGAGTCCATAAGGTCAAGATCATCCATCAGCCCAAGCACAGAAGAAAGTCCTCAAAGAAACGAACATACTAAAGTAAAGACTACGTATTCTTCTCCAATACCAGATGATAATCTTTATGAACCTGTTGAACCAGATATATGCAAAGGTAATATATTTGCTCAATCAGGAGTGCATGTAATAAAATATTCACATTTATTAAGTATTTAATAATTAAAATATTACTTTTTTGACCTATAAAACACTTATTCCGGCAAGTGCATGTAATATCGGTCATTATACCTAGATATTCTTATTTGCACCACTTTTTTGCATGCTGTAAACAAAATTTAAAATGTTGCAGTGATTATGTACCCTTAAAACTATGCTTACAAATAATAATGAGATGTTTGCATGAATTATTTTAATGTTGTACAAAATAAAATATGTGGTCAAATTAATCTGATAATTTTACTTTGAGTAAAATTTTATTAGCGAGGAGGGATGTAATAATCTGATTAGGAAAGCTGCTATCTCCCTATCAGTCTCACTTGCAACATTGTAATATTCCTGGGAACATTGTCAGCAGTCAATGTTCATAGGAATGTTACAATGTTGCAAAGAACATAGTGGTTTTTATTATATCAGCTCTTGCTGTTATATCTGATCTGATTTCTCCGCTCATTTCTCTGATTAAATTATCATAGTCTAATCTTGTCAAGATAAAATAAACATTTACTCATTTTAGGGGGGAAAAGCTGCATGCAATTCTACACAAGTCGTGTATTTTTCAGAATGGCAAGTTACATTATGTTAAAACAATTTGAAAGTCATAAATGTGAAGCATTATTTTACACATTTCGTATATTAACTTCTCAGTTAGTTTTAGACCAGTGTAGAACTTCTTTGAAAATACATTTTTTGAAATATTAATGCGAGTGAATGATTTAGTCAGTGTTCGTCTCAGGCTGTTTTGCTATTGCCTTTGCCCTTTGCTCATTCATAAAATATATATTTTGCATTTTTAAATAAAAAAATAATCTCACTATAACACTTTACCAAATGAAACTGTTTTCTGTAATGCCATTGGTTGACTTGCGCATGGAAGCATCAGATTTTCCTTTCGTATCGCCATTCATTAATAACAAGGTTGCTGTCGTTATTTTGTAAATCATAACTTGGTTTAAGTAAATATAAGATGCCTAACATTTCCATGATTGACAGTAAAAGCTGCTAAGTTACATATAAACAATGTATATCACATGCAATGTTTACATAACATGAGACTTATATCGAACACAATGCGGTTCTACGACTGTAGAATTTTAATTCATCTGGGATAATTTTCAGAGAAACCAGTTGAGAAGAAAAAACCTTCGCTTGAACAGGAAACGATACAAAACGATCATCCTCCACGAGATCATGAGGGAGAAAAAGAAGATGGAAAAAAAGACCAACAAGAAGACGAACCAGTTTTGATTACAGCAAAAAAAACTGTCGGTGCAGTAGCCATGCCTGGTATGGGTGCTGTGCTAGATAGTGGAATTTTGGCTGAAATGAAACAAAAGCAAAAGTTGTCAGAGAATAGTAAGGTAAGCATGATATTAATCTAAACTGCTAAATTTTACAAGAGACAGATTTTTACAAATTTCATGAAATTATGCAAATAATGAAATATTGCGGCATTTTCCGGGATACAATGAGTCAGAGTGACTTTTGCATAATTCTGTCTTTGCAATAACTAGCAGTAACAATTTAAAGCGGGGGAGTCATCACCTGCGCATGCGTCAGATGGCCATGGCGTGTCATTGTTTAGAAACAAGCGTCTACCCATGAGCCTTTGTGTTTTTAGTGCGTGTTGTTATCGTCGCCTGGGACTCAATTCCCACGCATGCGCAGGTGACTACCCTCTCGCTTTAAATATTTATAATATATACAATGCCAGTACTGAGCTATAATGAGATGGAGTATAAAGTTCATGGCTGGCATATTAGTCTCATATCAGGCATGTTGTCAACTGAGGTCATGATTGAGTACATTCTGTTCAAACTTTATATACATGTGTGGAAGACTGGTATCTTATTGGATAATAACAATTGTTAGTTCTTTGTGTTGATCCTGTCCACAGTTGTCCTCTTTATAAAGAGTTGCAGCTTTCTGCCTTTTAATCTTGTCCACATCATCGAACATGAAGGTCAAGGGAGAAGAGGGGAGGAGGGGAAAATGTCTTTCCTTCTTGTTGTTATTGTTGTTTTTGATTCGGTCCTAAAACTTTTTCTTGTTAAAATATCTCTAAAAAAAATGAGGTAATGTATCAATGCCTGTCCATCTGTCCATCAATCCGTCTGTATGTATGTGTGTCTATATCAAATCTTGCTTGATATATCAAGAACCACTGGCTTTATTGAAATGAAACATACTATATCATATCGCTACTATATAATGAACCCAGACCTGTTTCGATATTAGTACAAATCTGTGCATGATAATTAGGTAATTAATCAGGATTACCGTAGAATGTTCACTGTGTAACTTTACATTAGTTTGCACAAATGCATTGAAACTTTTTTCATGATTGCTGTTTGTGAAGATCAATATCTACTAACAGCCTCTAATTAATATGTACATGTAGATATTAATTAGCTAATTAGCTCACCAATTAACTGTTTTCAGCTGGTTTATTCTATCAATAGTTTGCTCCAGTATAGTTGATTGTATGATAATCTGTTCAGTTAATTGCTAATTTACATGCTAATTAACTTATTTTATCATGTTTTGTTTGTATCATAACATTTTGCACTAGTCGATTAAAACTATTAGTTTTAAAAGCACATGCATAACAAATTATAATAATAAGTATGCATTTATATAGCGCCATATATCCAAAATTAAATGTTCATAGCGCTTAACAATATGAAAAAGATAAAGTTATAAACAAACAAAATAAAACTGAGTATCAAAAGTCTGTCTAAAAAGACGAGTTTTAAGTTTCTTCTTAAAAATGTCAATATTGTCTGAGAGTTTGATATGTAGGGGTAGTTCATTCCATAAGCCAGGAGCAGCATTGCAGGACGGCTCAATGAACGAAAGATTTGGTATTAGTTTTTGGAACGTTCAGAAGAAGTTTATTTGTGGAGCATACACTGTGGGTGGGTTTGTACGATGAAACAAGTTTGCAAATGTAGCATGGCGCAGGGTGTTGTGAATTGCACGAAACGCAATTAACATGATCTTGAAATTAATGCGTTGTTGAACAGGAAGCAGGAACAGATAGGTTGAATAGAACTTCAGTGATATGGTTAAATTTCCTAGTCTTTGTGATGAGGCGTGCCGCTGTTTCCATGGTCAATCCTTGATGTCACAAAAGAATGTACTAAAAATTCTATTATTGAGCCATTGCCTTGTTGCTCATTAATTAAATTCTGTTAATCAACAATAATGACTCTGTTCATGTTATTTAAATTTAGTATGCAATTTGTTAGCTCCGCTGTCGACTTTGTCGAGCGGAGCTTATCATATGAGTGATTGTCTGTCGTCGTCCGGCATCCGTCGTCCGTGTCAATGTTTTACTTTTTCGACTTCTTCTTGAAAACTACAAGCCTGAATGCTTTGATACTTGGTGTATATGTACCTTGGGTAGACCTCTCAGATTTGTTCATTTCATGATCATATCTTCAATTCTCTAATTTTGGTGAATATTTTTGTCATGTTTGGTAAAAAGTGATATTTTCAACTTCTTGTTAAAAACCGCAAGTCCAATTGCTTTGATATTACATATATAGGTACTACAGGTAGACCTCTCTCAGATTTGTTCATTTTGTAATGATATCTTCAATTCTCTAATTTGGGTGAATATTTTTGTCATTTTTGGTAAAAAGTGATATTTTCAACTTCTTGTTAAAAACCGCAAGTCCAATTGCTTTGATATTATTACATATATAGGTACTACAGGTAGACCTCTCTCAGATTTGTTCATTTTGTAATGATATCTTCAATTCTCTAATTTTGATGAATATTTTTGTCATTTTTGCAGAAAAAGGCTTTTTGAGCATTTTGTATGGAATTTATTTTCACTGATTTTTGATGAGTTTAATGTAAAATATAAGAAAAAAAGTATATTCGCTGGATTTTATTTTCACGGAATCATCCCTTCAGCGAAAATAGCGAAAATAAATTCCAAGCGAAAATAAAGTATTCTACAGTATGTGATTTTAGTTTTGCCCATGATAAAAGCGACAATTCTACGAGTGACAATATTTATCTCACTTTCAAAGAATCCAAACAACGGGCAAGGTACCCACCAATTAACTATGTTATTTTAACTATTTTTTTCAGAACTCTGAGCCAGATGAAACAAAAAAAGCAGAGCAGCAGTTAGATGTTAAGAAACCTCTCGCAAAAGAATCTGTGTCAGATGGAATTTTGGATGAAATGAAACGTAAACAAAAGTTGTCGGAGAATAGAAAGGTGAGCATATTATAACTGTAAACTGTTGAATTTTATGAGAGACAGATTTTAGTAAATTTTACAAGTCACAAAGGGCAAGGTAACCAGTATTTAACTATGTTTAACTACTTTTTCAGAACTCTGCACCAGATGAAACAAAACAAGACAAGCAGATAGATAGTAAGAAAGCTCCAGCAAAGGACTCTCCTACGGAACTTATAAATGTTCCAAAAACGGAAACCCATGTGAATATCACAACCAAACAATCATCATCTCCCAAAGCTGTACGTCAGCCAGGATCTCCAAAACCATCACCACGGAAACTATCTAAAGGAAATGAAGCAGAAGGAGAACCGGGAGAACTAAAATCATCTCCACTACTACTGCGACGTGCATCAGGCAGTCCTAAGACCATATCACCAGCTACAAGTCCTAAGCCAAAGCATAGAATGCTGCTTTCCAAGCAAACTGACTCTGCACCTAAGACAGCTGCTGCTCTTTATTCAGAAGTAAAAGCTAAATCTGCAGAAGCCGTTAATCCAACGCCAAGGCCAAGATCATCACAAGTCATCACAACTAGACCACTATCCTCTGTACCAGCAACTACAACAGACAAAGAATCCAAGGACTCTGTGAGTCCAGTTCCAAGACCCAGATCTAGAGCTATTTCTGGAGCTCATCCACCCACGGAAGTGCCATCTTCACCTACATCCAAACCTGCAAAACCAGCTAAACCTGCTAAGCCCCCGCCCATTATGCCAAAACCAGTTACGAAAAGACCAAGTTCAAGAATAGGTATGAATAATTTATTTAATTATTTCAGTTTCCACATAAATGTACCGTGCCTCACTATTGACAAAATGCCATGATGTATTCTGATATGAATATTCTTTTAGGCTTCGTCCTCAGTGCCCATGCTCAACTATACCCCCCCCCCCCCCCACACACACACACACACACATTGCGGCATTTCTTTTCTTGGGTTTATGATTGGGTAAGTGCCCAACTCTTCCAAAATGCTCCAAATTTGACTTTTGCGAATACTGGCAATCAGATTTATAATGACCTGTTAACAACTATGAAAGTCAGTTAATACTTGAATTTAAATTCAGTTTATTTTTTACCTTGCCCGTATCTTCAAAGATGGAAGGGAAAGGTATATTAAAGCGAACCTAAATGCGGCCTTAATTTATAGTTGTGTATATTCTAAACTGTATTCGAAATAATATTGCAGTGGTTTAATTTTGTTTTAATTATAACTGTAGCTTGGATAGGCATTTGAAGTGCTTGCAATTAAACACCATGGAGGCCATTCATGGAGGGGAATAAACAACGAACGAACATATTTAACATCCGGGTACTTTTCAAAGCTATGACGTTTTAGTATCTGATCGCAGTCGTATATGCCATTGCACATAGCCGTTCATGCTGCCAAGCATTGTGTACTATTAGTATAAACTCAACTTTTATATGCACAATGTGCATTTTAAAACTTGGGTTAGAGCCTTATGCGTTTGAACCACAGTATTCTGAGAGTGGAAGCCCAATTGCGTAAA